AAAGAGTGAAAACAACCTAAATGTCCTTCATTTAGGGACGAGTTAAATAAATTGTATATGTGCATTCATAAATACAACACTACACAGCCATTAGAAAGAATGATACAGTTTTCTGTGTAATACTTAGGATTACTTCTAACATTTATTAAGGGAAAAATGCAAGGTTCAGAACAATGTGTAAAGTATATTACTATTTAAGTTAAAAAGAAGAGAAATAAATATTATTTATGCATATATATCCATAGTCTATCTCTAATTGCACGTACCTCTGCAGAAGAGAATTACATATAGTTTGAGGTGACTTACTTTTCACTACATATTCTTCATTACGATTTGACTTTTAATACCATGTACATGTGTCACTATTGAAAAATATAATTTTAATTAAATAATAATAAAAGGAAGATAAAAACAGACATAAAGAAAAATATTAACACATATTTTAGAAAGGAGCAATTTGATTTGATTAGAATATAGAATAAATCTAATGAAATAGTAGGAGCTAAAGCTTAAAGTGTGGTTGGGAGATTATGGAGTCTCTTGAGTGCTTGGTAAAGACATATGGTTTGGACTTTATTCAGCAAACAAATGCTGGTCCAATAGAGGTATTTGAACAGAGAGCAACATGATCAAATTGTGCTGTAGGAGGTGTAATTTTGTAGAAGTGGTCCAGATAGGAATGGAAGAGCCAGGAACACTGGAGCAATTTGAGGCTCCTAGAGAAATCTAGATGAGAAGCAGTGAAAGCCTGTAATAGAAACAGAAGTAGGCAGAAAATGATGTATGACAGGGGCGTTATAAGGCATTTCCAGTGTTTGAAGACTAACTGCATGAGTGGATTTTGGAATGGGGTGGATTAAAAAAAACAACAACAAACATTTTACAGTTGTGGGCTCTGGGAATATCATTAAAAGAAACGGACATAAGGAGGAAGACCTGGATTGATTTGCTGGATTTTGAAATTGCGTTTGTTTTGTTTTGTTTGGGTATTTGTTAGGTGAGATAATGAGGTGGGTTTGTGAGTTTGAAAGTTTGCAGGGCTGAAAACCTTAAAATATTGGCTAGATCCTAGGTGAGACATTAACAGTAAGAAGAGTACATAATAACATTCATATTATTGATGATTAAAAAGGTAGAGAGATCCACTGTATAACATTGTGCCCGTAGTTAACAATACTGTATTATGCACTTAAAAAATTAAGAGGTAGATTTCATGTTAAGTGTTACCACAATAAAAAAAAAATAAGAAGAAGAAAAAGTAGAGAGGATTTTTTTTTTTAAAGGTGATTGTTGATCTTGGGCTTATAGCCATTGAGTCTTACGGACTCTGGATTCTCTTTTAGGAACTAACTTTCAAATACATACTTACCACCTTGTTACTGAAATTAAGATTCTGAATCTTAACAGTGGATCTGTAAACACTTAAGGCATGGAAAGCAAAAGCTTTCCCAAATGTCATAGTGAATATGGTGAAGAGAGTCCATACTAACTTTTAAGTTATGTGAGTAGCATAATAATAACGAATTTAAAAGAAGCCTAAAAATGGATAGTACATTTTCAGTGAAGTACACATTAAAACATGTCAAAATTAAATGGTGTTATTTCAAAATCACTGATGTAAAATCATTGGGTGCATTTTTTAGACTCTTCTTCAGAAAACTTAATGCTTCACCTGTAATGGAGACAATAGAAGAAGATGAAGATGTGCGAGCTGAGAGATTTAGAGTTGAGAGTGGTGCAGCTGAACTTGATCTGGTCCAGCTCCACTGTCTCACAAAGACCTACCAACTCATCCACAAAAAGATGACAGCTGTAAACAACATAAGCATTGGGATACCTGCTGGAGAGGTAAGGAACTATGCTTTGTTTCTAATTATCCTTATTATTGGCATAATAAGTGACAAATGAAAACCTTTAATTATTTTTCTTCAGTTTTTTTCTAGAAATGTAAAAGTCAATCTCTGAATATTCCCATGGAATATATATGTATATTTGTGCACATATACTTATATATGTGTGTGTATATGTAATTTACACATATCTACATGTTATTTATTCTAAGAATCTTTCCTCTTGGCAGGGAGGATTCACCAACTCTTAACACACAGCAAGTTCTGAGTCCCTTCCCAAATTACTGTCCTCTCTGTGACTTTTGATCAGAAAGCCTGTTCAGAGTGCTCTCTTCCACCTTTCTTTTCCAGGCCCCTTCAAAACACAGCATAAATAAATCAGTTTTTAGAAGTTAGGTCCTAGAATTGCATCCATTTATAAACTTGCCATTTTCACAGAAACAATAACTAAGGCAACTTTGAAAGAAGGAAGAAAATATGGTTATTTTCCTTAGTTTCCCAAGCAGAGCTGCTAACTACATATATCAGATTTATTAGACAGCATAAAGAAACTATTGTTTCAGTAGCTTATTCAGGAAAGTTGTGATTTTGTACAAATGATGTGAAGTTCATAAATATAATTACTTCATCTGGTTTAGCGTATCTTAGTTTTGAGGCATTTGATAATGTCACATAGAGGGGTACAATAATATAATATGTAAAATAGGTCCTATGTATGTATACAACTGTTCAGGTGGTTAAAGGAAAAAAAAGATACAGAAGTACCCATTTGTTTTAAAAAGAGAGTCTTACCAAATGCCAACAGAGCACTGCAATATTCATAAGGGATTCTAGTGATTTATTTTTCTTCGTAATTTATTTTACTCAGGGAGAAGGAGGAAGGAGATATAATAGCAACATGTCTTTGGTTTGGATTAATGCTTACATCTCCCCCTCCCCCCCCCTTAAACCAGTGCTTTGGCCTTCTTGGAGTTAATGGAGCAGGAAAGACCACTATATTTAAGATGTTGACTGGAGACATAATTCCTTCAAGCGGAAACATTCTGATCAGAAATAAGACTGGGTATGAAAAAACAAATGCTTCAACTTACCAAATGCAACATAGTTAAATGAAAAAAATAATTTAAATGAATATTTTATGGTATTTTGTGGATTTATTAAACTCTTTGGGGGGAGAAGCTATTGAAGTAAGTGGAAATTTTTAAACCTTTAAGTGTGATTCTGAGAGTGGGATTATTTTATCCCTTTTTATCAAAATCACCAATTACTATGACCAAAATAGAGCTACCTTCCTAACATTTAAGAACCAGGAGGGATCTTTTAAACTAACCTGTGTCTTCGATCCTCTCATTTCAGATCTCTGGGTCATGTTGACTCTCACAGCTCATTAGTTGGCTACTGCCCTCAGGAAGATGCCTTAGATGACCTGGTAACTGTGGAGGAGCATTTGTATTTCTATGCCAGAGTACATGGAATTCCAGAAAAAGATATTAAACAAGTGAGTACAAGTGTGAATGAAATAGTTTGAAAAACCATTATTGTTTCAGCTTTTTCCCCCACCCCACCGTCCACAAAACCAGCTTGACATCTGGAAAACAATGACATTTGCCACCTGATAATGACAATCAACCTATGCTTGATTGTGTGTATTATATACACATCTATGAACTCAGCTTTAGAAACTGCTTAGCCCATGTTTCTTCAGTTAACCTTTCAAGAACTATCAAAGAGAGGATCATACTTGCATTAGGCTCTGGGTGAAGCATTGCTTGGTGATGCCTGTACAGCCTTTAGTGTTCAGATAAGCACTGATACATAGAATTAACTGCAAAATGCCCAAGTAAAATAGAATGGTTTCCATTTTGATTTTAATCTGTGACTTTGTACTTCACTGCAACTATTTGTCTTTTTAATGAAATGACTAACCCTTAGGACAGTCATTTTCCTCTAGTTTTGCAACCCTGGGACCTGTTGTGTAAGTCCAACTAAGATTTCATTATTTGCCAGGACTATTTAACTACAGAAATAACCATAAGAACCCATGATTCCTAATGTATTAAAGTTTTGATTCTGGGTCAGTTTTAAATAGACTTAAAACCTTTGTGACAACTCACCCCCAATAAGAAGAAAGATGAAACAGTGATGACAGTGAGAAACCTGCCTTGTGAATTCTGTTTCAGCTCTTTTGAGCTTTAAGCTTTACAAGAGAATCCTGTGGCAATACAGCATAAAGTACATTGTAAACACACACTTGAGAAAGATGAAACAGTGATGACAGTGAGAAACCTGCCTTGTGAATTCTGTTTCAGCTCTTTTGAGCTTTTAAGCTTTACAAGAGAATCCTGTGGCAATACAGCATAAAGTACATTGTAAACACACACTTTGTGGGAGGTGGGGGAGGGGATTCCCATTTGAAAAAGAGCCTCCAAAGAATTGCTTTATCTCTCTAAATGAACTAATTAATTTTTAAGTGGTCCTTCGAAGATGAAAATAAAACCTATGTTGAATTTAAATGTTTTACTTTTTCCAGGTATATATTCTCCATTATAAAATTCTCTTTTTACAAACAGATTTTTTCCATTTAGTGCTGTAAGGGTTTTGGCAGACAAAGGTCAATCTAACTTCTCTTTTATTGTCAACAGACTGTTCATAAACTCCTTAGGAGACTTCACCTGATGCCCTTCAAGGACCGAGCTATCTCTATGTGTAGCTATGGTACAAAAAGAAAATTATCTACAGCACTGGCCTTGATAGGGAAACCTTCCATTCTCCTGCTGGTAAGAGAAACGTTATGAAAAAGGCTACTACCTAATTACAACAGCATACCCCACTGTGTGTTAACATTCCATCATCATGATTGTAGTCAGTATTTATTGAGGTCTCACTATGTGCCAGTTAATGTGTGAAGCACTTTACTTATACCATTAAGAGAATTTATATCATTAAGCACTTATATTAGTAAGTGAATAATTTGTTACCATAACAATATGCTCTCAAAAATGTTTTTGTCTGAAGCAATGGCTCAGTGGGTTTCAGAGAAAACACTGGGCATGGGAATAGGTAGTAGTTGAAACAAATTAAGGGTATTCAAATAAGTAAAGTTACAGAACATGGTAGAATTTGATCCCCACTACTGAAGAAATTATGTTTTTTCTATTAGGAATTGATCAGATAAACTAACATTTTCTAACTTCTACTAGGGAGGACAGATATTTTAGGACAATGTATTATGATTAATTTTTTTTTTCCTGATTACTTAAAAATACTTAGCCTGGGGTGTAATCCATAAAGTACCACACTATTTTATCTGAATTTTGGAGGGGGGAATAAATGCATTCTACATTTATATTTTGGTTAAGAGCTGGAAAACTAAATTAATCACCTGGAAATATAAATTATTCATAGTAGTGATATAGTATTCTGTTCCCCAAGCCCAACATTGTAAAAAGGCATTTATTGCAGAGAAACAAACTTACCCTTGTTTTGGAAGATCCCCTTCATTCAAGGACCTCCAAACTCTGAAAGAGCCTTAACCATATGCAATAAAACCCAGTTATAAATCACCACATTATTGCAGGGATTAAGTCATACAATGGATAAAATCATTTAAACTGCCCAGATAGAATGATGTATAATCCATCTTTCTATAATACCAGAAGCTAATAATGCATTATTTCCCTGCCAATCAATGCTTATAATGGAATTCTATTGTGTGAGTGTCCCTTAAATTGAACAAAACTATCCTTAGGCAACCCTGTGAGGTAATAGATATTCAGCACTTTAAAATGTTAAAAGTGCTATGTAAAATGAGCCAAATTGAAATACACGCTACAAGAGAAAATACCATGTTTTCTTCCATATACATTTCCTATATATGCTATCTTCTTCAAACATAGGAGCAGTGACAGTATATCCTTCACTATTTCCCCAGATTAACACTCATTCCTTTCTTTATATTTAACCATAACACCTTACTATAAAAACAAACCTCTGGTTATCCTACGTATATACTTTCCATTACAGATATATTTTTTTACGTTTTTATCTGATCTTGACCTATAATTTGTTTCTTAAAATCATCTGTCAGGATCTATTATTGTTTGTCTAGATTATATTGCTACATTTCCTAATTTTATGTCTGAACAACTTTTCAAACCATCATTTACTCTGAAAAATAATGTATATCTTTCTACTTGTCAGTTTCTGCCAATCTTATTATTATTTCCCCAAGGAGTGTTAAATTTCAATTAATAACATAAAACTAAAAATACACCTCAAAATATTAACTGAAATATCAAATTGTTTTCTTTCTGCTTCATATAGCATGTTATCACTTACAGCCACAATTCTGCTATCACGAACAGGGTGGCAATCTTGTTGATGCAGCTTCAAATATATATGTATTGATGTAGAATTAAATATAAAAACTCTGCTTCATCAGTAATTGAAGTAGGATTTTTTTCCAAAGAAACATTCAAGATGGGTGTAAAGTAACAGGGTGTCAACTTCACCAAGACACTTTTTTAAACAGATTGACAATTTTAAATGATTAATTTTGAGCTTTTTGACAGCAGCAGAAAGAAGCCTATTAAATATAAACCAAGTTAGTCACAGAACCTCAAAAAGTGATTTCTGCTCTAGGGAAGTGAGACATAGTGATTCATGTAAAGAACCTCATCAAAAATTAATTAATTCGATAAATTGTTCTTGTAACTTCCTATTAAGGATGAGCCGAGCTCTGGGATGGATCCTAAGTCAAAACGACACCTCTGGAAGATCATTTCAGAAGAAGTACAGAACAAATGTTCCGTCATCCTCACATCTCACAGGTAAACTGAGTGCGGGACCTTTAAAGTCAAACGACACAATCTGAGGGTGACAGATGGGACACTGGTAATCCTGTGTAATGTATGTAGACAATGAATGCCCACAGTTGTACTGAAGTATTCTATGCTCATGGTGGTAGGAGCAAGTCAGGCAGATTTCATGGTAAGAATACATACAGCTCCTGTGCTGGCACAAGGTCTAAAGTCTAAGCAGTCTTTTTAAAAACAAATTTCTCATGACTTACGGCCCTTTTAATTCGACTGGGCTCCCTATTATCTACTAAGTAAAGTTCAGAATCCTTAGGCATAGTATGCAAGGCCTTCTATTATCTGGCCCCATCTAAATTTCCAGTCTTTTTCCCTGTGACACCCACTCCTACCATTCAATCTGAGTGGTTCTGCATGCACACGCTGCCCTTTATCTCCATGCCCTTCTTCAGCTGTACTTTCTACTTGAAAAGGTCTTGTCACAGAATCTCTCCAAATTCCAATCTCACCAGTCCTTCTAGAACCACCTCACATGCCTTTCCTCCATGGAGCAGATCTTTCCAATCAGTTACGTATAAGAGATACTAAAGCATTTCATCTACGCCTCTCTTATGAGGTTGGTCTTGAATTATAATTTTTATTTAGTCCATCTTTGCATTATAATTATATATAGTAGAGAAAGTATGACATTTGTTTATTTTCAAGAGATTTGTTTATATCCTAGCTTTACCACAGCATACTGAAGTCATTTAATTTCCATTAACTTTTGTATGAAGTAGACAGGGTGAGACCTAAGATCACCTCCAGTCCATGAAATTAGAGATTATATAACCAAGTTCAAGTTAACTAGTTATAAATCCCAAAATATAGCCAACAGAGTAGGGAGTATAAGGCATAATTTAAAAAAAAGCTCTGTGTTATTTCAAAAATGTTTCCTAGGAAATGTAGGTCTGATTCAAAACTTGAAAAAGCTCAAAAAAGATATTAGGTTTGATAGCGGGAGCATTCCAGGTAAGAGAGATGGCCTCAAGTTTTAAAAGAAACAGTAATAAACACTATCTGAAAACGTTTAACTTATATTGTAAAATATTTTTGTTTGTTCTCCTTCAAGAGAAATAAAAACTAAAAGAGAACTAAGGAACTAAGATAGTGTTCCTAAGGTGCCATATTCAAATGGTTAATGAACAGCTCATGAACTCTAACCCAGTTTTCTGTGTACTGAATGTTGACGTGATTCTGCTCTGTCTTTTAGCATGGAAGAATGTGAGGCTCTCTGTACCAGGCTGGCCATTATGGTGAATGGAAGGTTCCAGTGTATTGGATCTTTGCAGCACATAAAGAGCAGGTGAAGAAGAAATACGTTGTTCAACCTATAGCATAGGGCAATCAATCTAATGGTGCTTGACTCAGTTACAGAGATTATCTCAGCTGCCTGTCCTGCAATGGGTAGTAAAACTGGAATGAATAAGCTAATTATTAGAAGCTAATCATTGACTCAGCTTAAATTTAAATTATTTTATTGAGGGTTTAATGTATTTTTAGTTAGTAACCCCCAAACCTAGAAGGTCTAAAGCTAATAATAATAACAATAAATAATCCACAACCAAAACGCTCTCAAAAAGCAATTTCAAGAGTTTACCCAATAATAAATTAGACCTTGACAAGTACATGAAGGCATAGATCTTTATTTAGCATGTTCATTTGCCCTTTGCAAAGGCTTTCAGTAAGCTACTTAACATTTGTACCACATTCAAAACCTTTTCACTGAAACTATGTAAGAGAAGTGTGCACAAATATCATTACTATCAAGTTAAAAATAAGTTAATAATTTATATTCACCAGAGTATGTATGCATTTATACATATCTATGTTAATCTCCAAATTTCAGGATATTACTTTATATTTTTCTGTACAACAATTTGACTTTCTTATAAGATAGTATTAACCAAGATAAGGAAGAAAGGATGAAAGAGGCCTTATGTTGCCATTAGGGAATCTTTTGTGACTTGTTTACGAACTCTATTCTTGGTGCAAACAGTTAGCTAACATATTGATTTAATATTTATTTTTAAAACCCCAATGATTTTAACTTTTACTGTTGACACCAAATCTCCAATAAACTGCCTCTCAAGACCTTGCTTACTTTAAATTAGAAAGTATTTAACCCCAGAAATTGACATCCATTGACAATTCTTAAATGTCAAAGCAAGCCAAGATTTTATGTTTTCTTTTTAGTGCAGCTTTTGCCCAAAGAGTCAGACTTTGTATACTGCTAGAAATAAATAAAATTACATGGCAGTGCACTATTTCCAGTTTGCAACATGTCTTGAACTTTTATGGCAAAATTACGGTCTTTATGTAAGAAAACGGGATGTAATGGTCAGCTTGGGTCCAGTTTCGTTATCTAGAATTCCAGGGGAGGTATTTCGGCAAATATAACTCATACCGTATTTTGCACTTTTTCTTTCTAGGTTTGGCCGAGGATTTACTGTCAAGGTTCACTTGAAGAATAACAAAGTGAGCATGGAGACCCTCACACAGTTCATGCAGCTGCACTTTCCAAAAACATACTTAAAAGTAAGTGATTGTCCCACCTTTTGATCTTGGTTTGTTTTGATAGTCATTATCTAATATCATAGTGGATGTTTGCCATTTCCAAGTTGACCACAGCTTTATTATGAATCTTAATATATTTATCAGCTTTGTGCCCCATAAATATGCATAATCAATAAAAATAAATAAATAAATAATTAGGGTCATCTACCAAAAGAATGAATGAATGAATATATATATATATCTATATATGATGTACCACACACTTAGTAAGAACAAATAGAATCTTCAAATTGATAGTATATTTTTGTAGCTACTTAGAGTTAATGAAGTACTTCACATACATTTGTTTCTTCCTCATAACAGTTTTATGATCATAATGTATTAGTTTTCAAGTTGTTTATATTGCTAGTTTACTACTTATATATGTTAGAGAACTGAAGGATGATAGGTATTGTAGGACCAAGAGCATTTCTTCCTAAAAAAAATAAAAAATTACAAAGTTCCAGAATGTCATAGCTGATGGAGTTTACTTCCTTCCTTTCCTTCATTTGAAAGCTAAGCCCACAAAAGTTTGAGCGGGACTGGGTGGAGATCAAGTCCTCGAGTCCCAGGCTAGTCAAAAGATTTTTACAATTGATTTCATCTTACATATACATAGCCATGGGATGGATACACGCAGATATATGCATATTTATCTCACATAGCACATACGTAAAATAAATAAACGGACTTGACAGAAAAAGTTGCCATTGTAACATCTTTGATGTACAGGCAATTTGTAGAAGACAATGATGGCAAATAATTGTTTTTAAAAAGAAATCAGATGTGAAATGATGAAAAGAAGTTGGAAAAACTTGGGCTGTGACCATGTGATTTCCAGCAAGACATTTAAAGTCTCCGAACCTTGTTTTTTTCATTTGTAAACAGAAATAGAAACATCTACTTTGCAAAGTTGGTGTGAGAACTAATGATAAAGTGTCCACAGAGATACTTCATGAACTAAATGGCACAACATTAATGTGAAGTGATTTTAGAGAACAAAATAGAGTGCATTCTTTAAAATAATTCTTTTATCTTTATAAAATACCTTTGCCTTAGTCTCCCCAAGCCTTGGCTAACCTCTCTAAGAAATAATAGCTTTCGTGACTCATCAAAGCCTATTTTCTATCATGTAAATTTAAATAAAATTCAAAGTTAAAGGACACCTTTCCTGCACAAATCGTGTTAACTGTGACACTTTCTTTTAGTGCATTTCTCGGTTGAAATCTGTGTTTATTCACTGAGTGATGAAATTACATTCTCCCTGGTCTGTTCCTCATGGGACTGTGGATATATATGTAAGGCAAATGCAGTGATGATAAAAGTTTGATTTCTTCCTAAGCAGACCATTCTTTACAAGTCTGTGGTAGTTTTTAGAACTCCAGAAGGAAAATAGCCAGAACAATAATGTGGCAGTAAAAATAAGCAAGATGGCCAGATTACAGCAACAGGTATAATGCAAGTACAAGTCAGTGGCAGAGGCTAGGCAATGAACAAGAGGGTGAAGAGAAAGAGGTCTCGAACACCAGGCTGAAATACATGTTTCTGATCTGATTCACAGAGATCACAATAGTGGCTTCTGGAGTAAGAAACATCTTGAAAAAAACTAGTATTTAGGAAAGATTATCCTAGCTACTTTTTGCCAGAATGAATCAGTGTATATAGTTTCTAGGCTTTGAAAGAATAGTGGCTTCTGGAGTAAGAAACATCTTGAAAAAAACTAGTATTTAGGAAGGATTATCCTAGCTACTTTTTGCCAGAATGAATCAGTGTATATAGTTTCTAGGCTTTGAAAGAGGCTGTTGCAGTAACTCAGATGCGGACTGATGAGCATCAAGATAATAAAATTGATAGTGCAAATAGAGAGGAAAGTTTAAACCGGAGAGATATTTTAAAGGAAAAATAAATAGTATATGGTAACTGATTAAATACCCAGAAAAGCAAGGTGTTAAAGATAATCCAAGGCAGGGCCGGCCCGGTGGTGCACTGGAGAGTGCGCCGCTTGGGAGCACGGTGGCGCTCCCGCTGAGGGTTCGGATCCCATGTGGAGACCGGTTCCCACTCACTGGCTGAGCGCGGGAGTTCACCGAGGGTTGCGATCCCGTTGCCGGTCAGTAAAAAAGACAAAAAGGAAAAAAAAAATAAGATAATCCAAGGCAATAAGAACAGATTACTAAGTAGATGGTGATACTATTGACTAAAATAAAGAAATCAAAAAGAGTTTCAGGATAAATTGAAAAAGAATGCAGTGTCATTTGAATGAAGTTACTCCTAGACAATGCTTTTGAAATCTAATGACTTTAGCAAATGTAAATTGAACAGATAATTCTTAGCCTTTTTGAACAATTCTTACATAAAAATGAAATTTCTAAAAATTGATCTGTGAGAAAGCTTATGTGAACTGAGCATAATTTGACATGTGAAATATAATTCCACAAAAGTTTTTTTCCAGGCAAGATTATAATGACTTTATAAGTGCACAAGAATATAGACTGCTTTGGAGTTTTCATTAACTTTTTAACTTGGTTTCTCTTTGACATTCATAAAACTTTTTATCTCATCTTTACAAGATGTTAGTTTCAAAACATACACTGTGGCATCATTTTCAGTGGAATGAGTTTCAGTATTTTCCTTAGCTCTTGTTAAAGTTATGACTGGTCAAGTCGATATTACCTAACACTGCAAAATTAATTTTTTTCATTTGATTCCCACAGGATCAGCACCTTAGCATGCTAGAGTATCATGTACCAGTCACAGCAGGAGGAGTAGCAAACATTTTTGATCTGCTGGAAACCAACAAAACTGCTTTAAATATTACAAATTTCTTAGTGAGTCAGACCACTCTGGAAGAGGTAAGATGTATACCATGATCCATGAGCGCAATATCACATACTAATTATTATGCATTCTGGTTATTTCCTTTTAATGACATTCAATTTGTTTTAAATTGTTGCGATATCTAATATTGCACCTGAAGAACTTAGCAAAGAGCCTAATTAATTTCTAACTTCATTCTGAGATATTGAAAAAAAAGATATAAAAAGCATTAACTATTTTTTAATGAAGAAAATATTTTTCCTTTCTACAAGATATCTCTATCCATAAGGTTATATGTATATGGAAAGCAACAAAACACTGTTTTCATCTACAAAACAAACAACTGTTAACGCTCTCCTTACCTTCTCCATGGCATGTTTCTTAAAAAACGTTTCTATTGATTGACTTCCTGGATTAGGGTTGGATGGGGGTAGCTAGAGAGAACTTGCTGCCAGACATTTAGATCTGCCAAATTCAGGCAATTAAAGCAGTAAAAGCGGAATTCTTTTTTCTTTTCATTTACATCATCTGTCTTAAGTACATTTATATTCAATAGCCAGAGACTTCATAGGTTATCTTTCATCACCTCTGCACTCTTAATTGTGTACAGCTCAACAAGTAGGACATATGGAATGTTTGATGCATCTCTCATTGGAATGGGTCTGAAAGGAAGGCCTTAGGGGCCTCTGAGTCAATGTCTGATGCTGCATTTTATGGACAACTTTTTTAATGGAGGCTTTAGACAATCACAGCTTTGCCAACACAGAAGATACAGTCTTTGACTGTGACCAACTACCAGCACCATGCCTGGCAAATAATAGGCTCTCAATAAACAGTGCTTGGAAGAATCTATGACTAACAGATTTAATGATTTTAAACAAGGCAAAAGTTCTGCCTGTTAAATGATTGTCTTACTGAACATAATGTGACTCTCCATACAAATTTTATTTTAGTGAATTAACTCTTGAAACTGGTGAAATTTCTCTCAACATTTCTATATAAACATTTGATAAGGGCTTTGGGCTGGGTTCCATGTTTATACTTGATAGAGATACTAATGTAGATCATATGGATACAGATATGTGGCTATAGATATTCAGCTATAGGTTTATATTTAGATTATGATTATAAATATGATCATGGTCATAAACACAGTCATAGATATAGATGCTAATTTCAAGCCCCAGTTAAATTTGAATATCTAAAAAAACTCCTAGTGAGAGTATGTACAAGTGTGAGCATATTCCTATAAAATCAAATTTTCTTATTTGCTCTTCCATTGTGTGTGTGTGTGTGTAGGAATTAACCTTATTTCCTCCTTTGGTTTACTGGGCACTAATGGCTTTATATCCCCTTAAAAAATCAGGTTTTCATCAACTTTGCCAAAGACCAAAAGTCCTATGAGACTGCTGATACCAGTAGCCAAGGTTCCACCTAAGTGTTGACTCGCAGGATGACCGAATAGAGTCTTAGCATCTCCAGCAAACTCAATCTCAGCACATGGCAAATGGCTTCATTTTAAGGAAGAGCCACAGAAGATACCACTTCCTCAAAATATTTTCATTTAAAAGTATTATACTGTATGGGAAGTTACAATTGTGAAAGACTAACAAGCAATTATAGATAGAAAGTTTTTTTGCTAAGGTCAGTGAATGTTGTTGCTACTGAAATTAATTCCTGTATGCTGAACACTGTGAGCCTGCTAATGTATATGCTGTGGCGATTCTTATGCAGAGGTGAAACCACCTCAAGATGAATGTTTTAATTTATTACTTTCAATAAACAGACAGTTTAAAAAGTATGAATATTAGTAGTTGAAAAGTAAGAGTGGAGAAGAAAAGTAAGGTGGTTTGGGGTAGGTGGAGCTGGGTGAACAAACAAAATACTATAATTTATTTCCGGAAGATAACAGAATGAGCATCATCATGAATACGTGAATCTACTGTGATGTGTCAAGTGCTAAGGGCCAGATTAACATTTGCAGTAAGCAGCGGCACAATGTCTGCAGCATATGTATATGTCCTTTGTAGTACCTGTGAATACATGGGGACATACCGAACCCAAAAAAGTGCCTTTCCACAAGAATGCAATAGAGAGGGCAGTTTACCCTGGTGGTAAACTGAACTGAGATTTATTCCTGCCATACCTTGCCAATAAGGAGGCACAGGGTGGAGCAAGAAGCTACTTGCTCTGCAGTGGGCAGAATGGGGTGTGTCGGCTGGGCAGATACAAATCCTGAAAACTGACAGAGAATTCATGTGCTGCTGGCAGGCAACATTTTTTAAAGCTCGTATAGAAACCATCATATTACAGGTTTCTCCACAGGAAACATTCCTGTGAGGGAAAGTGAATATGAAGAAAATTTTCAGCTAATTACCTGGCTGACCCAGAATCGTGTGTATGGCAGACTTCTTAATAATGCCAAATTACATGGCCCTCGGGGAAGGTGCTTTATGCACTCTGTGTGTGTGTGTGTGTGCGCGTGTGCGTGCCCACGCACGCATGCATGTATACAAGTTTGCCAACGTTGGCATGACTGTTTCTCGTTTGAAAATCAATAAACTCAAAATTTAGAAAAAAACATTCATGTTGTCATTTCATTTGTTAGGGAAGAGCCAGGAACCTAAGAATGGGAGTCCCGTGTCCTGCTTACCTTCTGCTAATCTCCTGCTTACCTCTCCGCGCTGATCCCTATCTTTCTCCCCTTGCTCTTTAGGACCTAGCCACGCTGGCCTCTTTTCAGTTTTTCCAGTGCCCAAAGTCCTTCCCATCTCCAGACCTCTGCACATGCTGTTCCCCTGCTGGAAATGCTCTTCCCCAATCTTTGTGCCTGGCTAACAGCCTTCAGAATGTTAAACTTTCTCAGAGAAGCTCTACTACCCTGCTTTCTCAGTTTAAATCTCGTCCCTTTGTTCTCATACTGTACTCTGTTGTACCTTCTACTTTTGTGTCAGAGCATGCATCATAACTTGTAATATATCCAGATTAACACAGATGGTAACACAATTTCTCTTGGGATAAAAAATGTCTTTGTTGAGTTTAATATATGAATAAGCCTTTTGGAGTAGAAAGTGTTACTCTGAGTGCACGCGTGTCTTCAGGATCCCAGGTGATAAAAAAAAAAAAAAGATAACCAGCCTCCATGAAAGAATAAAAGAGATTTGTTTATTGTTCATTGTCTTTGTTGTGGTTGGTTGTTTAGTTACTTCCTTGCTTCTGAGCAATGATAGGAAGGAAAATAAAGGGAAAGGAGGAACCGCGAGATGGTGCAAGGCTGAGTATTGAAGAGAGATGAAAGTACAGCGAGAAAGTGGAGTGGTTGAATAGACTTCTAAAATCGTGATATCCAAATATTTTTTTCACTTTCATTCATTGTGCAGCCATGCTGTAGACTGTCCCTTTTCCACTAAATCTTCATTAAAGTCAGCCACACTTACAAATACACTTTGTAAATGAGTGTCTTGTGGAAACTGAGGAAGGTATATGTTAATGCCTTCTTTGAAAGAAATGCAGAACTGTGACTGCTTTGTCACAGAGAATGAGAAGCCTGGGGCTGGCCAGTTAACTCAGCTGGTTAGAGCATGGTGCTGATAACACCAAGGTCCAGGGTTTAATGCAGGAGAGAGAAAACAAGAATCCCGAAGACAAAGGAAATCATGGGACAAGGAGGCCCAGGGACATGTGCTGAGCAAAGCTTCTGCCCATCACAGGACATGGATCAGGGATTCCAGCCAATCTTATCTACCTCTCAGTGGACAGGGAAGCCCCAGCTGCCTGTGGACTACAGTAATCGCACCTTTATTTGCATGTTTAGTATTTCTCTCTCTCACTAGACTTGAAACTCTATAAAAACAAAGATCTATTTTGATCTTCCTGGCTCTCCCACCAGTACCTGCACATACAATAAATATTTGTGGCACTCAATACATACTTGTTGATTAGATTAAAAAAAAATAAATGAGAAACAAAAGAGAAGCTGGCATGGTTTAATATGGAAACCAAGCATCTTTATTCTGTTCAAATTTCTGAAATGCAGTGAAATTTCCCATGAGGCAGTTTATTCAAGGAGAAGAAAAAGGAAAGATGATGCTTGAGTCCATATTACAGGTACTACAGTGAATCTACTAGCATGGGAGGACTTTAGTATCTTCTTTAGAATCAGAATTTTAATGCTTTGCTTTGGTACATTTCTGTATGATTATTTCACTTTGTCTTTTTGTCTGTTGGATGTACTATATAAGAGTTTCATGGTACATTTTTACATATAAGTAAGGAAAACACATGAAAAACTATTTGAATCTACATCCCTTTGGGCTTCTCTACAATAGAAGGAGTGTTCTGAATTCCAGTTCTCAGACATTTGTCTCCACTCTGGATAACACGTACAGAATCGGCTTTCTTTTTATGCCAGTTACCTGTATTACCTCTGAGGATGGTGGCAATTTTCACTTCATGTATAAAACTTTGTTCTTACAGTGTTAAAACATTGGATACAAAATCAGAAGAATGGAAAACGTACAACTACCTTTTCCAAATATGCTCTGTGCCTTTCTGATCCATGCCTAAACAAACAGCAAACGCTGACATAGGAGAGAGGCAGGTGATGGAACAGGCAGTGTTAAAACATTGGATACAAAATCAGAAGAATGGAAAACGTACAACTACCTTTTCCAAATATGCTCTGTGCCTTACTGATCCATGCCTAAACAAACAGCAAACGCTGACATAGGAGAGAGGCAGGTGATGGAACAGGCTTGCACCCTCTTCCCCCCACCTGGCACCGGGACTCTGCTTGCTTCATTAACCTCAGCTTCTCAATATGAGAAGACAGCAGCTAAAAGGGAGAGAATATTATTTCCTTTGGCATCATTTGTTATGATGTTAATCCTATCACTTCCTTGCTTATGAATCCAGACTGGTTTTCTATAATCTGTAGGATAAAATGAAAATTCCTTATCTAATCCTTGAAGTATTTTATAATCTGGCCAAACCCTTTTTCACCTCTCTTCTCCATATGGTCTATGCTGTGACCACAATGAATTTAATGCTATTTCATACTTATGCCAGATTCTTTCTCAGTTCTCCATGATTTTGCTCACACTACTCTTTCCTCTTGGAAGGCCTCTTTTTCTCCCATTTCAGCTTTTATCTAGAATCTCCTTTTCATCTTCATCACCCTTCCCCTGTGTCTTCTCTCTAAGGAAACCTTCCCAAAGAGCCTCAGGCAGAGTTAATTGTTCTATCCTTTGTTACGAAAGCATTTTTGTGCATGCCTCTGCAGAAGCATTCCTATGTCACGTTATAATTTATCTCTATACTTGTCTCTTCCTGCTACACTCTAAATTCCTTTCAGTAGTGACCTATTTCTTCTTCATCATTGTATATCCAGCAAAATATCAACATAGTGTTGCTGTTCAATAAATTTTTGAAGATCCAAAGAGTTCTATTTCTATTTAGAAATATTTTTATAATTTTTTTATACCTTTTCTGCAATTATGTTTGTTTTAGTTTTAGAAGACTATTAAAGTTTAAAACTAATTGCTGGGGAAAATGTTTAGATGACCAACATTTTAAATTAAAACATTGATTCTGCATAAACTGCATTCCATTAAAATGCCAAGCATTTTAATTGGACATACTATTATGTCATTAACAGTATTGCCTATTATAGCATTTGCTCAAGGATATTAAAAATAAAGATGCCATTTAAAGTCAAATACTTTCACCAAGATAAGGTTATGCTTAATCACTCTCATTATACAAGTAGAAAAACTAAGTAAGACATAGTTTTAGCTAAAATAACAGCAGGTACCACTTTCTGATAATTTGTTATGTGTGAGACACTGACAAGTTTGCCACATTAATTATTTTCTTATCTAATTCTCACAAAAAACTTTCAACTTATTAGCCCCTTTTTATTTATGTGGACTTTAAAGCCTGGAAAATAGTAATTTTCTTGCCCAGAACCATACAGCTGAAAGGCAAATTAAACTTCACAGACTGTATTCTGACATAGACCAAAAAAAAAAGAACTTTATTAACATAAAATTCAGTGGTGAGCTACACTGATATCTACATTGACTTGGCAAGGAAACTGCTGACACTATTCACCCTGAATACTGTTCCC